CCACGTGGGTGTCCAACGCGTGCAGACGGACGTGCACCTGGTGCAGGCCTGCGTCCAGGGCAGCAAGGCGGCCCACTGCGGGAGGGAGGACGGAGGGACAGAGCAAGCAGTGCAGGGGGAGCGTGGGGGCGCAGGCTCCCCGCGCCAGCACGTGGAGGAACGAGGGGCCTGGGGCTCCAGAGGGCGGAATTGGTGGGGAGACTGGAACTTGTGGAAGAAAGGGTCCAGTGGCCTGAGCTTCGGGGGCCGGGAATCCGGGGGGCACGGCGGCTGAGAGCTGGGCATGAGCCACTGAAAGACCCAAGGAGGCAGGCTACTCACAGATATAAGTGATGGCGTCTTCGGGCGTGGGAGTGGGGCTGGGGCTGGGGGAGGCAGCTGCCGTTGCTTCCTCCTCTTCTTTTCCCTGGTCCTCTGCAGTCCCCCAGGCCCCTTTGCCTTCAAAAGTCGGGGCAGGATTCTCTCCCCCTCTGGCAGCCGCCAGTCCCAGGGCCTTCTGCAGATGCTGCAGGGTGGGACACGATCAGCCCGTCCTGCCACCCCGATGTCCCGCCCTCCCCTCTCCAGCCCAAATCTCTTCTCTGCCCCTCACCCCACTCCTCTGGGCCTGTCCGCATTTCTCTCCCGGCCCATTTCCCTGCCCTCCTGAAATGCCCCTTCCCGGGTTAGAGTCCCCCGAGTCCTCGGCTCACCTTCAGCATCAGGGTCTCCCTCTCCTGCTCTTCCTCCAGGGTTCCACCCCAGCCCTCCTCCCTCTCTGTTCCCCGAGCACCTTGGCCAAAGCCCAAGAGCTGGGGGACCACCAGGGCCCCAAACACCCAGGCTGCCTGCATGAGGCCGGGCTCTCCGTGACCCAAAGTTTCAGATGTCAGAATGTCTGGGTAGGGCTGGCGAGTGGCCGGCCCTGGGTACGATCCCTCGCCCGCCGTCCGCCTCTGTCTCTCCTCTGCACCTCCCCTCCCACTCCGGCCGCCCTTCAGTCTGCTGGTCTCCTCCTCGGGTCCTCGGTGTCTCCCCGCCCCCTTGGCTCCCCGGAGGCCTTGCCTCTGTGGCCGGAAACCTCCAACGTTCCAAAGCCTGGATCCCGCCTTGGGTCTCCCCACACCCACTCTTCCCATTCCCAGAGCGAGCTTCCGTCCTGTTCTGTCTTCTGGCCCACCAAGAGCTCAGACAGCCAGGAAGAGGATGGGATTGGCTCTCTGACCACAGCGCCCAGCCTTGATCCAAACCCCCTGGGACCAAGCAGGCAGAGATGGGATGCTGGGTCTCCGGCCCGCTCCCTTCCCTCCTGGCCTTCACAGGGGCAGACCTCTGGGTCTCCTTCAGGTGGTTATCGCCCTGAAGCCATCAGAGGCCATGCTCCACCGTCCTCAGGTCGTATGTGGTCCGTCGCGACCTCCCAGCCAGCCCCTTAAGTGCAGGTCTGGGGCAGACACGTGTGAAGGGCGTGCCTGTGGCTGTGTGCGCAGCCCAGAAGGTGGGGCTCCCAGATTCAATGACCCGACTTTACTGGAAGCCTCCTGCAGGACAGGCCCTGGGCAGGGTGACACTGGGGACTCCAGCTGCTCTCCTCTCATTGCCGCCGACAGCTGAGCCCCCAGGTGAGGGGGTTGGGCAGAGGGTGGGGAGAGGGAGGAGGGCGGCGCCTGGAGGCGGAGTAGACAGATGCTCGGCTGGGCGCCTGCACAGGGGCCAGAGGTAGAGTGCTCATTCCAGTGCCACCTCGTCCCAGCTGGACCATTGTGGTGGCCTCCTCCCTGCCCTCCCTTCCCTCCGCCCCAGCCCCTCCAATCCCAGCTGCTTGCCGCAGCCAGAGCGATCCTTCCAAACCATAAATCAGACCACATCCCTCCCCACTCCCCTACCTTCCCATCATAAGCAGGAGAGAAGCCAAACCCCAGCCTCAGTTCTCAGCACAGCACCCCCAGCCTCCACTGGACCCCAGCCTCCAGCCTGCTGGCCTCCTGGCTCTTCCCCACCGCCCTACTCTGCTGTCCTTATCTTTCTGGAAGGCTGTTTCCCTGGCTTTTTCTCACAACCAGAGTCTCAGCTCCCTGACCACCTTCTCCAAAATGCTTCCATTCCATTCCAGTTGATTTCTGAAAATGGCCCCTTTTATATCTTTCTGCTAGAGACTGGCATGGTCTTTGTTTATGCCCACCTCTTGCCAACGAAGGCAGGGACTCTTGTGCCTTGCTGTACCCTGGCACACAGTAGGTCTTCGATCAGTCTACCCAGTGAGCAGTGAGGTAGCCCTACGGGGTGGCTAATGACTCTGTCAAAGGCCTAGCAGCTCCATTTGGCTTGGAGATTTCGCTCTGAACTCCAGGGCCCTGGCCAAGGGGTGGAAACGTGGTGGGGAGAGGCTCAGAGGCAGAGGAAGCTGGAGGCCATGCCATGCCCACTCTATGCCAGGCCTGTGAGTCACACAGGGCTTTTCCAGTCCCAACCAGGGATCAAGGGGCTCACTCTTCAAAGGAGGAAATCGAGGCTCTAGGAGGGGACAGTATGGCCCTCTGGAGGTCACTGTTGTAGGGGCAGCTGGCTAGGGCTTCTGGTGCCACACAGAAACAGGGCATCTGCCCTCTGCTGCTGGGAGTCCCAGGAGGGGCCCTGGAAAGTTACACAGCCAGACTTCTGTTTTCTAAGGAAGCCTGCTACACTGAGGGCAATGTGACCTTGGGCGTGCCTCTCCCTGCCTTGGAGCCTAGGCATCGGCAGTGCGGCTCTGGAGGCCTCGAGAGATGAGGCCAGGTGCAGAGACGCCCTGTACACTGGGAAGGGTACACAGCATCTCATTGCTGGCACCAGCAGAGGCAGCTGTTCTCTCCTGGGCCCAGCTGCTTACCACCTGGGCGGGTGGGGTGCACCAAGTTAGGGCCCCCCTGGGCTGGGCAGGCACCTGCTCCAGCTCAGACAGGAGCTGGGGAGCCTGCATGGGGAAGCACACCCTGAGGCTGCCCCGCCTGCCCACCATGGGGCCGGTGTTCACCGGTGACCTAGAGGAGCCCAGCTGAGGGGACACTCACTGCTGCCTGGTTTTTGAGCGAGTCCATGTGCACTCAGAGGCGTCTGGATGAGCCTGGTTCTTACATCACCTCTGTAAAGCTGGGTGACCTTGGACAACTTACCGAGCCTCTCTGTGCCTGTTTTCTCCTTGGGAGCACAGGGACAGTGAAAGTCTCCGAGCCTGGCACATGGCACATGTTCAGGAAGAAGTGCCAGAGATGCTCATCCTGAGGGGGCCACGGTGCAGTGTCACAGGGTGGAGCGGGTGTGTGCACCTGGAGGATGGTGCGATGTGTGTGCCTCCCTTTCCAGGGGTGCGAGCTGAGTGTGCCCAGGTGTGTGCCCAGTGTGGGCGGTGAATCTTGCCTGGAGCTGCTTGCTGTGGTGCAGGGCTGCGGTGTGGCCAGGGGCATTTGTGGTCACATCCCCGGGGATGTGGTACACACATGGGATGGGCGCCTGCAGGTCCCCTGCTGGCCTGGTGACTGTGCACCTGTGCCTTGGGGGAAGTGTGCCTGTCTCAGGTGTGCCCACCTGTGCCCTGCCCTGTGCTTAGGGGTGTGTGTGTGTGTGTGTGTGTGTGCACGCGCGTGCATCTGTCTGTCCATCCTTCATGTTTGGAGGCACAAGACAAATGCATAGCTCCCATGTCACATTTCGGGATAGTCTGGCAACAAATATATCTTGTGCCCCAATGTGTGTAGAGGGGGTGGGGTGCACTTTAGGCAGAGGAGTCCTGGGGTGTGGGGGGTACCCTTAAGGCGTGGGTTCCTATCTCTGGGGTAGGGGCAAGGAGGGGTAGAGGACCTGGCCAAGAGGAGTAGGGGGGAGGGAAGGGAAGGGGGCGGAGCCGGTGGCAGGCTG